TCTCTCTCTCTCTCTCTCTCTCTCTCTCTCTCTCTCTCTCTCTCTCTCTCTCTCTCTCTCTCCCTCTACCTACCTTCACACTCTCTCTCCCTACCTACCTACTGTATTTCTCTCTCTCTCTATTTCCCCCCTCTCTCTCCCTTTATCTACCTACCTACCTAACTACTTTCCCTCCCTCCCTATCTACTGTATTTCTTTCTCTCTATTTCTCTCTATCCCTCTACCTACCTACCTACTCTCTCTCTCTCCCTACCTATCTGCTGTATTTCTCTCTCTCTCTTTCTATTTCTGTTCTCTATCCTTCTACCTACCTACTTACACTCCATTGCTCTCTATTTCTCTCTCTCTATTTCTCTCTCCCTCTCTCTCTCTCCCTCCCTTTATCTACCTACCTATCTACCTACCTAACTACTTTCTTTCTCCCTACCCACCTACTGTATTTCTCTCTCTTTCTTATCCCTCTATCTAACTACCTACTTTTTTTTAAAATTTGCCTCTTTAAAATCTTGGTGCGTCTTATACTCCGAAAAATACAGTAGGTAGCACCACCAGTGTTAAAAGGGATTTGGGTTTGCAAATTGAAGTTGTTGTAGGTAAGTAGGTAAAAGCTGAAAGCGGATCGAGGACCCTAGAGTCCTCTTCCTCTTCCTCCTCCTCCCTGCAAACCCCACTCCCTTCTAGCACTGATGATGTTCCCAAGTTGGGTCATGAAATGTCTGCAAGAAAACCACCCAGCTCATAGAGCACCAAAGACCTCACAGTCCTCCTCCTCCTCCTCACCTCTTCCCTCCTAGCACTGATGATGTAACCTAGCTGGGTCGTGAAACATCTGCAAGAAGACAACCAAGCTCTGATAGCACCAAGGACCACATGGTCCTCCTCCTCCTCCTTTCCATAAATCCCACTCCCTTCTAGCCCTGATGATGTTACTTACTTGGCTCATGAAACCTCTGTCAGAAAACAGCCATGCTCAGAAAGCACCCAGGAGCCCCACAGTTCAACTCAGAGCTACAAAAACCTTCTCTTCCACGAAGCCCCTGTCTTAAAGCCCCCCTTTTCCTTGGGATGGGTGAAGTTCTTTTCTATCGGAACATCTCTCTTAACGCCTTCTCTTTCCCTTTCCTTCCTCTCGTTCCCTCACCCACCCACCCCGGCCTTCCAGGTATCATGTCCACAGCAAGCTGTTGAGCTTCATGGCGCCCATTGACCACTGCACGATGAATGATGACGCCAGGTGAGTAAGCAGTTAATTACGCTTTCTGGAAGGGCTTTTGTGACAGCCTGATATTGACCTGTTCTTCAGCCTGTCACCGTCTCGGGTTCTTTTATATCGGCCAGCCATTTGTCACAGGCTAGGCCGCCCCCTTTTTCCAGGCCGAGCCGGCTGCTTGCGCTTCCCACACTCCCGGCACCCCCGCCGCCAAATTGCACACGGCGCTTTTTCCACAGTTCAGCCCAGCCGGTGCCCTTGGTATTTGCCGCTTCAGTGCTTCAGGGAGAGCTGAGCTTGTGAGCACGCCTGGGCTTTTAATTTCCCTTTTTTTTTCCTCCTTCCAGCCCTGGGGGGGGAGGGGAGGGGGCTAAGGATGGCAGCGTTGTCGCGCCTTTTGTGACATCTTTAAAAAAAAGAGATTTACAAGGATGTAAGCGCGGGCCCCTCAAAACGCACACGTCCAATTATTCCCGTTTAAAAGTTGCCACTGGATTCTTCCTCCCTTCTTTTCTTTTGCTGGAACAGATGTTTCTTGTGGTGATCCCTCTGGAATTAGATTATTTGAGGGGGGTGTCTTTTTTTGGGGGGGAGAGACAGGATATTGTTGCAAGTTCAAGATAAACATATGCGACTCTTGTGGGCTTAGTGCGTTTAATCAAAGGCATAAAATGGATTCTAGTTCCGTGAAAGCTCTGGGCACGGTGAATTTATTAGGTTTTAAGGTGCCATAAGACACTTTGCGAAAGATCAGACAATAATTTATTGGCTTAAGAGCGTTCTCTCTCTCTCTCTCTCTCTCTCCCTCTCTCTCTCTCTCCCCTCCTCCTCCTCCCTCTCTCTGTCCTCTCTCCTCCTCCTTCTCTCCTTTCATCACTCCCTTCCTCTCTCTCCTCCCCTCCCTTCCCCACTCTCTTCCCCCCTCCTCCTCCCCCTCTCCTCTCATTCTCCCTCCCCCTCCCTCTCTCTGTCCTCTCTCCTCCTCCTTCTCTCCTTTCATCACTCCCTTCCTCTCTCTCCTCCCCTCCCTTCCCCACTCTCTTCCCCCCTCCTCCTCCCCCTCTCCTCTCATTCTCCCTCCTCCCCCTCTCTTTCTCTCCTCTCATTCCCTCTCTCCTCCCCCTCTCTTTTCCTCTCATTCCCCCTCT